TGGGAGGTTGAAGTTATAATGAGCTATGATGGCCCCACTGCACTCCAGCCTGAGTGACAGAGAGAGACCTTGCCTCAAAAAATAAAATGATTAATATTGTGCTATGAATGTCATCTCAATTTGTTTTAAAAAAAAAAGAATGAAGGAGATGCTGAAGGACCTATTTTTTTAAAGCCTTAAAAGTAGAGAAAAAGAGAGAGAAACAAATTCAAATACAAAGCCAAACCAAAACAAGGGTGAGAATTTCACCCTGACAATAAAATGGATATGGACACTTTTAGCTAACAAGTAAAAAAGGTAAGAGTATACACAATCACAAAAAAAGCAAATCAAAAAATTTTTCTGCGAGCAGTACTCTGGGTGCTGGCTGAATAGATGAAACACGTAACTGTTATTTTAAAAATTTCACTGCAATGCTAAAGGGCAGGAAACCTAGACAAAATAGAGATAGGGAAGAACCCTGCTATCCTGAGAACCTAGAAAGTTAAAAGCAATATCCTGGCTTGAAATGGATACAACAAAGACTAGAAAAGAAAGATTATCATCCTAAGGACCAGGACCTACAGATAAGACATTATAGTAAGAGATAGGAAGGAAGACAGTGAATGCCTAACAGACTAAAGCTTGGGGGCCTTGAGTAGTAGGGAATACAACATATAAAACGCAGAAGTGCTAGCAATTGATATCCCAGTAATTTCCAGTTTACCATCCCAAATTTTTCCCATCCCTGCCTAATAGCCTACTCCACAATAGTCATGGCAAAATCGACTGCAACAGCCAAGGCTATAAGGTCAGCATTCCTTAACTCCTAGTTTAGCAGGGAAGCTCAAAATATACATTTTTCTTGAAACTAAAGTACTCTATTGGACTAGCCAGAGGAGATGAACTTAAGGTGGGGAAGTAGATTTATGTGCCATTCATAATATTTGAATTTCCAAAAAAATATAAAGAGCCTTAGACTTAAGAAATAGAAACTGTGGTGTGTTTAATTAAAAAAAAAAAAAAAAAAAAATTCCCTGCCACTATTGGTTAAACAGGTGGGTTTTAAAGCCAGAGCTCCTGGGATCAAATGCCAGCTCCACCATTTATTAGCAACTTCATCACTCTTTGCTTGTTTCCTCATTTGTAAGAAGTAGATAATAATAGTATGTAAAGCTTAGGTTTTTGAAGACTATATGTAAGTTATGCATGGCACCTGGTGCTTGCTAAGGTCTCAACACATGTTACTTTCACTTTTCTGATCATTCTGTTTCCTGTTGAGGAGAGCCGCACCCAGATTTGCTTTGTTTTTGTTGTTTTTTTGAGACGGAGTCTCGCTCTTTAGCCCAGGCTGGAGTGCAGGGGCACGATCTCAGCTCACTGCAAGCTCCGCCCCTGGGTTCACGCCATTCTCCTGCCTCAGGCTCCCAGGTAGCTGGGACTACAGGCGCCCGCCACCACACCTAGCTAATTTTTTTTGTATTTTTAGTAGAGACGGGTTTCATCCTGTTAGTCAGGATGGTCTCGATCTCCTGACCTCATGATCCTGGACGTTGTGGTTCACATCTGTAATCCCACCACTTTGGGAGGCTGAGGTGGTAGGATAACTTGAGTCTAGGAGTTGGAAGCCAGCCTGGGCAACATAGTGAGTCCCCATGTCTAAAACATATTTTCAAACAATTAGCTGGAGGTCATGGTGCACGCCTGTAGTCTATCCCAGCTACTCAGGAGACCAAGATGGGAGGATCATTTGAGCCCAGGAGGTGGAGGCTGCAGTAAGCAATGATAATGCCACTGCACTCCAGCCTGGGTGACAGAGCAAGATCTGTCTCTACAAAAACAAAAAATTAGCCAGGCATGGTGGCAAAGGCCTGTAGTCTCAGCTACTCAGGAGACTGAGACAGGAGGTTGCTTGAACCCAGGAGGTTGAGGCTGCAGTGAGCTAAGATCATTCCACTGTACTCCAGCTTTGGTTACAGAGCAAGATCTTGTCTCAAAAAAATTAAAGATTAAAATAAATAAACAGAAGACTGAAACATAATTAGAAATTCAGCCCTTCCTCTCCAAATGTCCTCTTGGTTCATGTGTGTGGGTCAAACTTTTAAAGAAGCCCAACAAATTGATTTGTAGCCAAAGACTGAGCTCCATGGTAATAATAGCAGTGGCTAACACTCCAAACTAACTGTGTGACAGTCACTATTATAGACTGATTTTTTATAATGACCCTGTGGGGTGGGTACACATTATCCCTGTTTTACAGATGAGAAAACTGAGTTACAGAGAGGCTAAGTATCTTGCTTAAGGTCAGCTATTGATATGGCTATTAAATGGCAGTTAGGGTTAGAATCCAGGTAGTCTGTGTATTAGTCTATTTTGACACTGCTGATAAAGACATACCCGAGACTGGGAAGACAAAGAGGTTTAATTGGACTTAAAATTCCACATGGCTGGAGAGGCCTCAGAGTCATGGTGGGAGGTGAAAGGCACTTCTTACATGGCAGCAGCAAGAGAAGATGAGAAAGATGCAAAAGCAGAAACCCCTGATAAAATCATTAGATCTCATGAGACTTATTCACTACCATGAGAACAGTATGGGGGAAACTGCCCCCATGATTCCAATTATCTCCCACTGGGTCCCTCCCATAACACATGAGAATTATGGGAGTATAGTTCAAGATGACATTTGTGTGAGAATACAGAGCAAAACCATATCATTCTGCCCCCGGCCCCTCCAAATCTCATGTCCTCACTTTTCAAAACCAATCATGCCTTCCCAACAGTCCCCCAAGGTCTTAACGCATTTCAGCACTAACCCAAAAGTCCACAGTCCAAAGTCTCATCTGAGACAAGGCAAGTCCCTTCTGCCTATGAGTCTGTAAAATCAAAAGCGAGCTCGTTACTTCCTAGATACAATGGGGGTACAGGTATTGAGTAAATATAGCCATTCCAAATGGGATAAACTGACCAAAACAAAGGAGTTACAGGGCCCATGCAAGTTCAAAATCCAGCAGGGCAGTCAAATTTTAAAGCTCCAAAATAGCCGGGCACAGCAACTCATGCCTGTAATTTCAGCACTTTTGGAGGCCGAGGTGGGTGGATCACCTGAGGTCAGGAGTTCGAGACCAGCCTGGCCAACATGGTGAGGCCCTGTCTCTACTAAAAATTCAAAAATTAGCCAGGCATGGTGGTGAGTGCCTGTAATCCCAGCTACTTAGGAGGCTGAGGCAGGAGAATTGCTTGAACCCAGGAGGCAGAGGTTGCAGTGAGCTGAGATTGCACCATTGTACTCCAGCTTGAGCAACAAAAGTGAAACTCCATCTCAAAAATTAAATAAATAAATAAAATAAAAATAAAGCTCCAAAATGATCTCCTTTGACTCCAGGTCTCACATCCAGATCACGGTGATGTAAGAGGTGGCTTCCCATGGTTTTGGGCAGTTTCATCCCTGTGACTTTGCAGGCTACAGCTGCCCTTCTGGCTGATTTCATGGGCCAGCATTGAGTGTCTGGGTTTTTTCCATGAGCACAGTGCAAGTTGTCGGTGGATCTACCATTCTGGGGTCTGGAGGATGGTGGACCTCTTCTCACAGCTCCACTAGGTGGTGCCCCAGGAGGGACTCTGTGGGGGCTCCAACCCCACATTTCCCTTCTGTGCTGCCCTAGCATAGGTTCTCCATGAGGTCCCTGTCCCTGCAGCAAACGTCTGCCTGGGCATCCAGTCATTTCCATACATCTTCTGAAATCTAGACGGAGGTTCTCAAACCCCAATTCTTGACTTCTGTGCACCTGCAGGCTCAACGCCACATGGAAGCTGCCAAAGCTTGGGGCTTGCACCCTCTGAAGCCATGACCTGAGCTCTCTGTTGGTCCTTTTCAGCCATGGCTAGAGCAGTTGGGATGCAAGTCAGCAAGTCCCTAGACTGTACACAGCACAGGGACCCCGGGCCCTGCCCACAAAACCATTTTTTCCTCCTAGACCTCTGGGTCTTTGATGGGAGAGGCTGCTGCAAAGGTCTCTGACATGCTCTGGAGACATTTTCCCCATCATCTTGGGGATTAACATTTGGCTCCTCATTACTTACGCAAATATCTGCTTGAATTTACAAATATCTGCTTGAATTTCTCCTCAGAAAATGGGGTTTTCTTTCTTTCTTTTTTTTTTTTTTTTCTCCTGATGGAGTCTCACTCTGTTGCCCAGGCTGGAGTGCAATGCTGCAATCTCGACTTACTGCCACCTCCATCTCCTGGGTTCAAGTGATTCTCTTGCCTCAGCCTCCTGAGTAGCTGGGATTATAGGTGTGAGCCACCATGCCTGGCTAAGTTTTGTATTTTTAGTGGAGACAGGGTTTCCCCATGTTGGCCCGGGTAGTCTAGAATTCCTGACTTCAAGTGATCCACCCACTTCAGCCTCCCAAAATGCTTGGATTACAGGCATGAGTTGCTGCGCCCAGCTAGGATTCTTTTCTATCGCACTGTCAGGCTGCAAATTTTCTGAACTTTTATGCTCTGCTTCCCTTTTAAAACTGAATGCCTTTAACAGCACCCAAGTCACATCTTGAATGCTTTGCTGCTTAGAAATTCCTTCCGCCAGATGCCCTAAATCATCTCTTTCAAGTTGAAAGTTTCACAAATCCCTAGGGCAGGGGCAAAATGCTGCCAGTCCCTTTGCTAAAACATAACAAGAGTCACCTTTGCTCCAGTTCCCAACAAGTTCCTTGTCTCTATCTGAGACCACCTTAGCCTGGACCTTATTGTTCATATCACTATCAGCATTTTTGTCAAAGTCATTCAACAAGTCTCTAGGAAGTTCCAAACTTTCTCACATTTTCCTGTCTTCTTTGAGCCCTCCAAACTGTTCCAACCTCTACCTGTTACCCAGTTCCAAAGTTGTTTCTACATTTTCGGGTATCTTTACAGAAACACCCCACTCTACTGGTACCAATTTACTGTATTAGTCCATTTTCATGCTGCTGATAAAGACCCACCCAAGACTGGGAAGAAAAAGAGGTTTAATTGGACTTACATTTCCACAAGGCTGGCAAGGCCTCAGAATCATGGTGGGAGGCGAAAGGCACTTCTTACATGGTGGTGGCAAGAGAAAATGAGGAAGCTGCAAAAGTGAAAACCCCTGATAAAACCATCAGATTTCATGAGACTTATTCACTACCATGAGAACAGTATGGGGGAAACTGCCCCCATGATTCCAATTATATCCCACTGGGTCCCTCCCACAACATGTGGGAATTATGGGAATACAATTCAAGATGAGATTTGGGTGGGGAACAGATCCAAACCATATCAATCTGGTTCCAGTGAGCCTGCCCCAAACCCACTATAACCACTGTCTCTGGAAGCCTAGGATGAACCTGGCTATAATTCAAGAAGCAAATTACAGAGGCTTCCCTCGTTCTTTGAGTCAAGTTTCAAAGACATGGGAGAGGGGGGAGAAGGATGAGGAAGAGCATACAAGGCTTTTTTTTTGTTTTGGTGCTGTGTTGTTTGAGCTTGGTGGGTTGAATGATGAAGTGGTGATATAATTTGGGTATTTGTTCTCTCCAAATCTCATATTGAAATTGATCTCCAGTGTTAGAGGTGGGGACTGGTGGGAGACGTTTGAGTCAGGAAGGTGGATTCCTCCTGAGGGACTTGGTGTCATCCTCACTGTAATGAGTGAGTTCTCTACTAGCTCACAGGAGAGCTGGTTGTTTACAAGAGCATGGCACTCCTGTCCTGTCTTTTGTTCCCTCCCTCACCATGTGACACACCTGCTCCCCTTTCACCTCCAGCATGGTTGGAAGCCTCCTGAGGTCCTGACCAGAAGTAGATGCTGGTACCATGCTTCTTGTACAGCCTGCAGAACAGTGGGCCAAATAAACCTCTTTTCCTTATAAGTTACCTCAGGTATCCCTTTATAGTAATGCAAAACAGACTAAGACAGATGGGTTCATTGAGTAGGCATATAGGATGTGAGTCTTCTTTTGAAATCATTCTTTAAAACTTACTTGCTAAAATATTAATAGAAAAATTATTAAATGATCTCTTACTAAAATGGAAAAAGACGGCTGGGCGCAGTGACTCACGCCTGTAATCCCAACACTTTGGGAGGCCAAGGTGGGTGGATCACCTGAGGTTGGGAGTTCAAGACCAGCCTGACCAACATGGAGAAATATCATCTCCGAGATGGGCGGATCACGAGGTCAGGAGATCGAGACCATCCTGGCTAACACGGTGAAACCCCGTCTCTACTAAAAATACAAAAAACTAGCCGGGCGAGGTGGCGGGCGCCTGTAGTCCCAGCTACTCCGGAGGCTGAGGCAGGAGAATGGCATAAACCCGGGAGGCGAAGCTTGCAGTGAGCTGAGATCCGGCCACTGCAGTCCCCCCCGGGCAAAAGAAAAACCCCCCTTATAAAAAAAAAAAAAAAAAAAAAAAAGAAATATCATCTCTACTAAAAATACCAAATTAGCCAGGCGTGATGGCATATGCCTGTAATCCCAGCTACTTGGGAGGCTGAAGCAGGAGAATCGCTTGAACCCAGGAGGGAGAGATTGCAGTGAGCCAAGATCGTGCCAGTGCACTCCAGCCTGGGCAACAAGAGCAAAACTCCGTCTGGAAAAAATAAAAAATAAATAAGGAAAAAGACATGGCTCTTTAATACTAAACTATAGTGAAGAATTTTAAAGAGCAGGATACCCCAGAAGTTTGTAAATAGAAAGTATTTTTGTTTCTGTATTAATAGTTAAAGAGATATGTAGCAGCTGTGCAAATGTGGGAGTAGGGGGACTGCCCATTAAGTTTATACACTCCTTTCAAATTATTCTGTAGTTACATGAATTTCAGCTCACCCTCAAAATGTCTAGAAATAGAGTTTTTCTCCATGAGTGCCATTCTTTGCTATACTACATTACATCATACAATTTATAGAAGGACTATGAGGAATTAAAATGTTAAGATTTTATTTGATATGGTAATATTTATTATTTCAAACCTAATTCAGGTAAGATCCACGGGCAATTTTAAATATTGTTGAGGAAGGTATCATTATTAGGAGACAGTGAACTGAAACTAAACATTAACATTTTCTATTAGAGATCTTGGTGAATTGATTGTAGAATGGGAAGTCACCAGCTTTGCCAACAAAAAGGTAGCCTGAATGAGGAATGCTGAGGAAATGGACCAGTCTTACGCATGGTGGTCTGCTTACACCCCAAAATCTTTTCCATCTAGGGACTGGCAAAAGATGGTGCCCTCTAGAGAAGTGCTACAATGAAAAGGGAAAGGAATGCATGATGGTTTAGACTGATACAAAGCAATGAGACTGCATTAGCAAGCTGAGCAGCTAGGGAAAGCCTTCAGCAATGACTTCATGAACAAAACATTTATTTTCCCTTTCATACCCCAGATTACACCAATAAGAAGCCCTGTAAAGTGTGCAGTTAAAAACCACTTCCTTCAATTCTGCCCCTGTCAGGGAATTCCTCTCCAGGCTTTGTCAAAATCAAGTTTGTGCTTTGCAGTTTTATTTATTTCACGGGCTTTCATCTTAAAAATTGAGTTAGCTATCCTCAGGTCTCATTACTTTTTTTTTTTTTTCTTATTTTTAAACCACCAGATCTTGTGAGACTCATTGCTTTTGAGGAAAAGAGGACAGAGACCCGGGCTTAATGTCTAAAATTAATTAATTGGGTAAAAAGAGTTCTTTCAGATTCTAGATGCTAACAGTCTTCATTACGGGGCCTTAGGCAAACAGTTAATTCCGGCTCTGCAAGAGGAAGTGAGTAAGAGTGCTTTGTTATTTTTAGCATGATAATAATATACATCATTACTGCGACTACAACTCATTGTAAACCAAAGTTAATTATTTTCATATTTTTCTTATTATATTTGATCCTAATGATGACACGGAGCTGCAATAGGAACATGAGAATTTTTTTTTTTAAGGCTAGGTCAAATATTATCCAGCTTAGAATTCTAACAATGGGTCAAAGGGATTAGATTGGAGATCTACATTGCCTTACTTCATGTTAACCTAAAAATTCAACACAGCACCTTGCAACTCTTCCTGTACGGAGCCAGCATTATAAACATAATACCCCTATTGTAACTGCCATTTATTTGCTTTTAATTCCCAAATCTAGATCTCCAGCTCAGATTTCCTATCCCAAACTCTAAACTCCAGCTGCCTTCTTCATGTCTGCCTGCCTGGCTGCCCTGGTGTCCCACAGGCATCTCCAAGTCAACATGTTCAAAATGGAATTAACTTGTCTCCTCCCTCACTCCACCCCAGAACTATTCCTCCATTTTTCAATGAATGAATAGTACCCCTTTAGACCCAAGGCAAATTAGAGAACTTTCCAAATCCCTTCCTTCCCCCACTGCCCTCCCTTTTTACTCCTAATTAGTGGTCAGCCATACTGACTCCACTTGATCCAGTTATCAGCCATCTCCACCTGAATAAATGGTTACTACCGGTTGTCTTAGGTTGGGTTCCCTAAAAACAGAATTTGAAAGCAGGTGTGGGGTACACATGATCTATCAAAGCACTGAATTCCTCGAAGAACCTATAAGGGAAGGAGAGAAGACAAACAGGGAAAGGGAAAGAGCCTAGCCAGGATGTGTGATCTCAGGTAAAGTCCATCATGGCCTGATCCACAGGTGAGGGATCTGAAGCATTAGCCACACAGCAGGGCTGTCTCCCACTTGAGGCAAGGGTACCAGCCTTTTGTACCCTCCTGTGCCCCCTGCAACAGTCAGTCACTCAGTGCCAGAGTTTGGGTGGAGTCATTATGTGCCTAGAGTTCTGTAGTTATCCAAGTACTTTTCCATGAATGTATAACAATACTTCTAATTCCAATCCAACATCTCAGCACTTCTTCAAACTTAGCTTCTTTCTGTATTTCACCTTCTGTAATAGTGACAAATCTCTACTACCTTAAATATATTGAATTATTTGTTCAATCAATTTTCTTATTTGCTCAGTGTAAACAGTCTCCTTGCCCTGTTGGTGGTCTCCTCTGTTCAAAACCTATGTATGCCAACTCTGTGTTCTCAGGCACCAGTGGGCAACAGCAGTGTGCTTCTGCACAGCTCCTTCCTCTCCACTTTAGTGTTCTGTGTTCTCTGTCTTTGGGTATAGCTGAGACTTTGTTTTCTGCTGCCCTAACAGAATACCAAAGACTGGGCAATTTACAAAGGAAATACATTTATTTGGCTCAGATTCTGGTGACTAGAAAGTCCAAGATCAGGCAGCTTGCTTCAACTCATGATAGAAAGCAGAAGGGGAAGAGGGCGTGTGCAGAGACCAAACAATCTGCTCTCACAGTAACTAATCCAGTCCCTGGAGAAGAACTCACTCTGGAGAGAAGGCGTTAATCTATTATGAGAGATCAGCCCGCATGACCCAGACACCTCTCACAAGGCCCCATGTCCCAACCCTGCCAAATTAGGAATCAAATTTCAACGTGAGTTTTGGATGGGACAAACTACATCCAAACCACAGGGGTGGACAAGCTTCCAAATCACCCCTGTGCAGCTCAGCCCTTCCTGCCTCCCTGCCTCAGCAAGGGTGGATGGGGAATGGGCAGGGAAGGGAAGGGGAGAGGTGGGAAGGGGAGGGAAGCTGGAGGTAATGAGTGCTGAGTACAGCTGCAGCTGGGAGCTTTGTCTGTGTACCACTCTGATTTTCTGGAGAAGAACTCCCAGGCCTCTACACATACACAGCACTCAGCTCTCAGCTTAATGCCTGTTTCAAATTATAGCATACCTCAATCTGCAAGCTAGCAGTGTCTTATAATAGTATAAGACAAAGACCAGAAGGTACTTCTGGTGGTGGGCCTCTCAGCAGGCCCCTCAACCCACCTCACCTCCTCTCTGCCAGAGTAACACTGTCCTTGCCTCTCTGAGTTAGACAGTGGCAGTGGGATATGCCAGGGAGTTTTGCTACTTACTTTCTAGATAAGTTGTCCTTGCTCAAGAAGGAGGGTGGTACGCAGCCCTCACTGGCTCCTTTCAACCCTGGCCCATCATTACTGCTGGAAGAAATCCTCTCAGATTTCTAGTTTATACATGATTTCAACCTTGGT